GAGGCCTCGGGGCCGCGTCTCTCCCCCCGGCTGCCGCCCGTCTCGGGGCCGCCGCCCGCTCAGGACACCGGGCCACTCCGAGTCGCTGAGTCCGCGGTGTGCGTCCCCAACTAACACACTCAGGGTCCGCACCTCGCCACGGGACAGGGCCCGGGGCACTTCCAGCCACCACACACCGAGGTCAGCTGGGAGCGGCCACGGTGCCTCCCTGGGCCGCGCCGCCAGCTCTGAAGCTGGCGACGGGCGAACGCCAGAAACCCAGCTGGGCCGGGCGCCTCGGCCTCGCCCGACGGAGCGGGGTGCTTACGCCTCCCAGAATGGCCTTGACGACGTCCTCGCTGCTGGAGACGCCCCACAGCAGGGTGCAGGCGGCCGCCCCCATTTCGGTGCAGTACTCCGCCTGCTGCAGGAGCTGCTGCTTGGCCTCGTTCAGCTGCTGCCGCAGCGCCAGTTTCTCCTGGAACCAAGCCGAGGTGAAGTCAGGAGGGACGCGTGACCCGGACAGCGAGCGCTTCCTCTCCAAGGCTGCCGCAGATGCGCGCACAGCTCCAGGACGCGGGGCACACGAGCCGGGCTCCGGAGCCAGAGCTCGCGCTCACGAGACCCACCCCGGCGGCTCACGCTACGGCACCGCCTGCCGACGCCGCAGAGCGCGTCTCCTCGGAGCGTGGGGAGCGCGTGGGGGAGCGAGGTGCCGGGCACCCCAGAAGTGACGGGGCCGTGATTCTGGCCACAAAAGGAGGCAGCCGAGAGCAGCAGGAGGCGGGGTGAGCGGGCCTCGGGGACCTGCCCCCGCCACCCCGGAACTTCTCTTTAAGCCCTGGGATTTCCCAGTGCTGCTGCTGCCTCGGGCCCTGGAGCCGGCAAGGGCGTCTGCTCCCCCCGCGGCGCCGCGGACAGTTCGAGGAGGCCTGGGAGGCCATCGGGCCGGACAGGAGAGGAGACACAGCGGCCCCACTCGCAGGCGGCGCGAGAGTCTGCTGGAAACGAAGCTTAGGCCGGCCGCAGGGCACCGCCCCAGCAACGCAGCCGGCCGCTGGAGGGCCCCCGGCCTGAGCATGCAGCCCCGCCGCGACCGCCCCGAGGGAAGCGAAGGGTTTGGGTGAAGAGCCGACGCGGCTGCCGGAGACCACAGACGGCCGGTGCGGGGTGGGAAGCGCTGCCTGGTGGAGACCCAGTGACGCCCCAACTGGCCTAGTGACACAATTCCCGCCAAACCCCAGCGGGACCTCTGTTTATTCCACAATTTCCATGGAGAAGCGAGGAGCCCGCCAGGCAAGCTGAGCAGGACCGGGGTGCACGGGGGGATGGGAGCGCACCAAGGCTGCCGGGGCGCCGCCGTGAGCCCGACGGTGAGGCGCAGGGAGGGGCCCAAGGGCCAGAGCCCAGGCCTCGGGCCACACATGCCCAAGCGACTGCTGGCCACACCGGGAAGCTCACGGGAGAAAGTGTCTTCACCAAAGGCGTGCGCTGGCGGGCCGGACGCACGGCAGGAGAACCCCGCCCCCCGCAAAACTGGCACGTGACAGTCGCATTCGTGAAGGGGACAAAAGGGGACGTCGCTGGCACCCAGCGCCAAGAAGCCCGGCACGCGGCAAAGAAGCGCAGCACGTGAAAGACAAACTTCAGCAAGCTAAACGTGCGGGCCCGGCGGCGCGGCGGGGAGCGCTGTGCTGGGGCTGCCGCAGCCGCGTCAGCGCGCTCGATCCCCGCTGGGGAGGGGGCCCGGGGCGCAGCACCCCCCCCCGTCTCCCCGCTGCTCCCTCAGCCGTGGGCCCCAGTGGATCCGCCTTTCTGCTCCCCACTCTTGGGGACTCCTCTCACCCCCCACCTCTGGCCTGCACCCAGGTCTGTATAAATGAGTCAGAAGGTCCCGACGAGTTCAACATCCAAACGGCACCTTGCGCTCTGTGAAGACCTGGGGGCCAGCTGGAGAAGAGCTGACGGGGAAGAGGCAGCCGCCCACACCAGGCCGGCCCCCACAGCCAGTGAGGGGCCCCCGCCCCACGGGGAAGGAGCCGGGCGCCCTCAGCCTGCAGCGCACCCGCGGGCGGGGCACCGGCCGAACGCCAACGCAGGAACCTCGGCTGCAGAGGGAACAGCTGCACCGAAAACACCCGGCGGGCACCGCGTGAGGCGGCGGGAGTGGTCTCACCCTCTCCGCCCGCGCTTTGCCAGGGGCACAGGCCTTCGAGCACTGCCCGGTCCAGCGATGAGAAGGAGCGAGAACCGCTCCGTTGGCGCCACCCGGGTCCCTGGATGCCGTGGTCAGCCGCGCAGGGGACGCCGAGGCCCAGGCGAGCGAGCCAGAGCGGCACACCACGCTGAAGCCCAGCGCCCAACACGCGCTGCCTCGCCTGGCTCAGCTGAGCGGGCGGCAGGAGGTGGGGCCTGCGGCGCCCGGGGTTCCCTCCCTGGCCGGGGACGGACTCATGCCGCGGCGGCGACGGCCCCAGACTGACCCCGGGGGCCGTTCTGGGGGCGCTCAGCCGGAAGTGCCTTTAACAGGCCCAATGGGCCGCGAAGGCCGAGCGAGCTCGGGCCGGCAGACCGCTCGCCTGCCCGAGCCCGAGCCCCAGCCCCAGCCCGAGCCGCGCGGGCGCCGCCTCCTACCTTCCTCTCGCGCACGCTGTCGGCCTGCACAGACTCCAGGCGGGCTCGCAGGTGCTCACAGTCCACGCGTAGCTGCTCCAGCTCCTGCTCCTTCCTTTCCAAGCCTGGGGGGACACAGGCACCGTTTCCAACCGCGCGGCCCCCGCCCCGGAACTGCCCGCGGGTTGCCCTCAGGCTGCTGGGGGCGCCTTCAGGCCGGAGCGGCCGCCAGTCGACAGCCAACTCCCGCGTCCAGCCTGCGTCAGCGTCCAGCCTGGAGCAGAAAGCGCGTCTTGGTGTTTCCACTGGGGCTGCACGCGGGTGCGGGAGGCGCTGAGGCGGAGGCATGCTGTGGGGCGCACCTGCACCCCAAGCTGCCAGCACAGGTTGCGGCCCGAGGCCCTGCCCAAGCAAGCAGGCTGGAGACGAACGAAGACCAGGCGTCTCACGGGAGAGGGCCCAGGGCCAGGACGCTCCCGCCCGCGGACACCTGCCTCCGCCTGTGGCCACCATCAGCCCTCACGTGAGTTTCCCGGGCCCAGCGATGACTGCGGGGGACGTGGGGAGCAGCAGCAGCCCGGAGCCCACACCGTGGCTGTTTCTCGGGCCGACCTTCATGAGGTGAGTGCGCTTGAGGCGCTCGAGGAGAGCACGTGGGCAGGGGAGGTGCCGGGCTGTGGGCAGCAGCCGGGGCACGTCACAGCCTGCCAGCCGCAAAGGGCCCGTTCACGCTAACAGTGTCTGCACAGGATGGCTCAAGCGAGCTGCTGCTCCCCTCCCCGGGATGGGGCACAGTGGGGCGCTGCGGCACCGTGGGCTTGCAATGACAGGGACCCGGGCTCTGAAGGCTCCGGGGACCCGCCGGGCCACGCCCCCTCGGAAACCTCCAGGGAGGGCCCCTCCCTGCCCCTGCCAGCTCCTGGACGCCAGGCGGCCCCTGCTCTGCGGCCAAGGCTCGGCCAACCTCGTCTGGCGGCCCGTCCCTGGGTCAGCGCGGCGCGACCAGAGCCGCCGCAGCAGCGCCAGGCCGACCGTGCTGGCGTCCCAGCGATCCCTGGGGCTGCCCCGCACCCAGGAGAGGTGGACTCACGTGTCAGGAGTGGCGGTGAATGTCGCGAGCGTCCGCCCTCCCGCCACGGCCCCTTCCTGCCTCCTCTGCCCGCCGCCTGTTGGCCACTGCCTTGTTCCCCCCCCCCCGCTCTGCACCCCCAAGAGGCTCAAGTCACTGCCACGACAAGGAGACATCCTCAGCTGGCTTTTCCTAGTGGCCAAGGCCAGCCCACGGGACACGAGGCTGACCATCCCCACCTCACGATCTGGGAAGCAGCCAGTAGCCACTTTCTGGGGCTGAGGCTGGGGTGCTGTGCGCCGACGGGTGGCAGCACCCTCCCCCCGTGACTCCCGGTCCCCCACATCGTCGCCGGCCTCCTCACTGGGCCCCTCACCCGTTCGCTGCGGTGCCCTGCTAGCAGGACCTGTGCGAACAGCGGCTGGGGCCAAGGACCACCGAGGCGGAGCCCCTGGGAGGGGCGGGCTCACGAGCCTCGCACTTCGGGGCGCAGCGACGGGTGAGAAACAGACTGCGGAAGGGACGGGGGTCGGGGGGTCACGGTTCTCTCTGGAGCAGCCGCCCTGAGACCCCGAGGCTGGGCCGCAGCCTGGGCGCGGGACTGGGGCGCCAAGTCAGCCCGGCGCCTCCGCCCACTCTGCGTCCCTCTCTCTTCCCTGGGGCCTTCCTGCTCCCGGCCCCTGGGGTTGGGCCCGCGGCCCCCCTGCGGCGCCCGCAGGGCCGCCAAGGGAGCGCGGGGGCGGCCCGCGCCCGGGGAGCCTCACTTTTCTCGACGAGCCGCAGCTTCTGGAAGCTCTCCAGGACCTCCCCGTCCAGGACGCGCGGCAGGAAGTCGCGGATCTGCATCACCTCCGCCGTCAGCCGCTCCAGGTCCCTCCGCCGCACCTTCACGAACTCCTCGGCGGCGCCCACGCGCTGCGGGAGGCCAGC